TTGCTGTTGCTGTTGCTGTTGCTGTTGCTGTTGCTGTTGCTGTTGCTGTTGCTGTTGCTGTTGCTGTTGCTGTTGCTGTTGCTGTTGCTGCTGTTGCTGCTGCTGCTGCTGCTGTTGTTGTTGTTGTTGTTGTTGTTGTTGTTGTTGTTGTTGTTGTTGTTGTTGTTGTTGTGGTCGTCGTCGTCGTTGTCGTTGTCGTCGTCGTCGGTGGTGGTGGTGGTGGTGGTGGGGGCTCTGTCCTCGGGTGCGCGCGTGTATCACTGTATCAGCATGTTTCCAGCATGAGTTTTGCGTGGCTGCCACAGGCATGTTGGAGATCGGACATCAAAAGGCAAACCTGCGCACACGTTAATTGCGCCCGTTCACGCGCCCCGTAGCTTATTCAAATTACCACGCAAATTGCAAATTACCATACAACTTGCAAAAAATTACCCCGAATCGAGTCTGCAATTGTAGTTGCACCGCACCGTTTTGGTCTTTCATAGCGGCATCCGAGTGTCTCGAGGGCAGCAGCTTGCATGGCTTTGCGGCGCCTTGCCTGCACTGCTTGCACGCCTGGAGGGGGCTTGCTTGTTCGCTTTCCTTCGCCGTCGTCGGCCCTTGCTGCGGGCCCAGCTGTTGGAGAGGCCATGGAAGGTCCTCCGAACCAGAAGGTCCGTGATCCATGCCTGAGGGCTTCCGCGCATCCCAGGTTGAGGTCGGTCCTTCCAGCATCAGCCCCTCTGCTGGCAACGGTGTCTATGTGTCACAAGCTCAAGTACCCGAGCCATAAATGCATTAGCAACACTGATGCCTTGCTTGCCTGATGGCCCCAGCTAGCCAGGTACCCGGGGTCACGATTCGGGCCATTCTTTGTGACCCCTCATCACAGGGGTTGTACGTGGCCTGCATCACCACAGTGTTTTGGAGCTTGAAGCCAGCAAACCAATTGTGAGGAAGGCGCTCTAGTTGCCCTCTACGCCGGCCTCTGGTTTCCATCAGTCCAGGCCTCAGTTTTGAAGGACGAGGCCTTCACAGCAAGGCAAAGCTGCTGGCTAGCACCTAGAGGTGTTTTTTGGGCTTTTCCGCAACAAATTGCGTTCTGATTTTTTTTATTGGATGTTCTGAGGGACAGTTGCTGTCCCAAGGTACCCATGGCCGCAGCATCCCTGGGCAATGAGATGCACCTTGCAAAGAAGCCTTATGGGTCATGAGGCCGCGGCCTGCAAGGAGTCGCTGGAATCAAAGGGTTTGTTTGCAGGAAAATCTACAGGAAATGGCCGCGCACCTTAAATTCGACGCACCCCCTCGAGTGAGATGCGCCGAAGTCCTTGTCTGTCACTTTCGCCACGCAGCAAGTTGTTCTCGCCGCGCGTCTGTACATCTACAGGAAATGGCCCCAAGACACCCTAAATAAGCTGTTTTCCTGTAGAATTTCCTGTAACCCAACCCTTTGATGGAAGCTGCGAAGTTTTCTTTCGCTTTTGTGAAATTTTGCCCTACCGAGCACGAGCCTTGATTTTGAAAAGGGCACCTGTGGCGTGTCAGGCTGTTGTCGGCTCTCCCAATGACAGACTCATAAAATCGGGATTTTGCTAGTAAGAGTTCTGGAATATGTTCAACCGGAATGGCACGCACAGGCATGTGCATGGATTATCCTTGAGAAGAACGCAGAAGCAAACGGCCACAAGTTCTGCGGGAAGTTTAATGGGCTCTTAACCCCCAAGCTGTTCATGGCCGTGAGCCCCCCTTTTCATGCCCTCGTTTATAAGGGTTTTGCAAGGTCGGAGCTCATTGAGCACGCCCCAATGTAACGTAGAGCCGAGCTCAGATACTCCTGGGCTAGAATCCTTGAAGCACATGGGCCCGAAGCCGCGCCCCGGCACGGGCTGTCCGCGGGCACGAGCGGGGTCGATTCCGGCGCTGGGGCATGTCTCATCCGTTCCCTGAATGCCCTGGAAGGGGCCTGGCTCATCAAAGCTTTTTTTTTTCCAATCTGGCATGGCGGACTTGAGGTGGATGCGCGCTTGGCCGGCTGCAAGGTGGAGGATTTGGTACCTTGGACGAAAGCGTCGCGTGGTTGAAAGTTTAAGTTCAGGGGGGTCCAGGCTGGAAGGCCAAAAGGCGGCCAGACAGGAAGGGTATACTGGGTCGGGCTGAGCTTTCATGTGAAAAGGGTTGCTACGAGGCAATGCCCCGGCACCAGCACTGGTCATTGCGACACATGCAACCGCTTTTCCCAGGTGAGCAGCTCTAAAAACCCCCCGTTACATGCCAAGCAAGAGTTGTGTCATAACAAGGCCCCGCGTAAGCAAAAGCCTGCACGGCGTAAGCGGGCGTAAGCACTTTTTGGGGAAACATGTTGCGTAAGCACCTGCGTAAGCTCTTCTTCGTGATTGCTTGGTAAGCTTTGTAAGCATGCTCGGAAGAGTTGTCCCACATGTGCTTATGCGTTTTTTGGTGGCTTGTGCTGTTGCAACCTAGCCGAGCTTGGCAACTTGCCCGGAGGACTTTGCCTGCAAGAGGACGTCTAAGACCGCATGTGCGCACCATTAGGGGAAAAAACAACAAGCATAACTTTGATTGGGAGCTCTTGGGGCTCATGCTAGGTGCTGTCGCAACCTCCACTAGGACAAACAAAGGCTTCAGTAGCCGCTGATTTAGGAAAACTACAGGGGCGCGGGCGCGTAAGCTCGCGTAAGCAGGCGCGTAAGGTTCGCGTAAGCTCGCCTAGCTCAGCTGCCCGCTAGCCGTCGTGATGGATGCCGCTACCGCAAAAGCCGGTTTCTTGATTTGCAGCAAAAACAACAACGCCAAGCTGCTCAAGCTCGCGAGCGCAGTTCTTCGTCATCTCTTCCACACAGTCATCCACATCATCTTCAACAGCTCTGGCGGCTGCACGGGAAAAGAAGCCCGCGTAAGCAATTCTTGAGGGGAAACGCTCAAAACGCCGACGCGTAAGCGATGCGTAAGCTTTACATGCTGTCTGACTGCCACGTAAGCTAAAACATGGGTCGCGTAAGGAAAGCGCAAGCTTGCGCGTAAGCAACTTGATACGACATAGGGATTCATGGGAGGTTTATAGAGTCGCTCAGGTGGCCTATCGCTTGTGCTGCGATGGCGGTGTGATGGACGCTAGCTCAAAGTTGGAATGACAGGCGATCGCCAGGTGATCGAATCTCTGCCACCAAGGATGGCTTCAGAGCAAGGGAGCGAGTGAGTAGCGCTGCTTTGCTGCATTTACAGCACTTCACACTGAGCCGCCCAACACAAGTCACCCATGGGAAGCTGCGCGTGAGGGGCAAAGTGGCACTCCTGTGACGACACTGGTCGTGTGACGTCCCAACCTTTGGACTGCAGTGCCTGTGTCCAAGGCCGGAGCTGCAAGTTCATTTGCCATGGGGCAGTTGGTCAACCATCCGCCAAAAGGCGACGGACTTGGCATTCCCGAATTGCCAAATCGCGAATCGCTTCGTTCAAAACGTTTTTTCCCGAAGGAAGCTACCAGTTTGCATTGACATTCCCAACACATTCCACGGTGTTTGTGTGTCTGGATTCGCGTTGCGCATGCAATGATGCAACCGCGATCATTTGCCCTCAAAGCCTTTGCCTCACCCTGTTATTTCCAGTGAGCCCAGCGAGGTCGGCGGGCCAACGTGCAGATCTTGCAGTTGGAGGAGTGCCTGTGGCGTCCAATTGGCACGCTGGTGTGTTTGTTTTGTATTTGTTTGACATGTTTTCTTCTTCGTTGTTCCCTTTCTCTCTGTTCTTGTTCAGCCCATTTCTTGATTCCTTGGACTGCCTCCTTGCATCTTCAGCACCTTCCCTTTTCATGATTGTTGTTGCTTCTTTGTTTGGCTGGCTGGCCTTGGGGCTGGGCTGGTGCATGATGATGGTTGAGCAGTTGTTGCAGCGGGACCGTGTGGCCATGCCCACAGAGTTGCTATACCCATCACGCGGCAATGCGTGTTTAGCTTCAACAGCATTCTAGTGTGAAGCAGCATGGTGGAGTCGAAGGTGCCAGTTTGACCCCTCAGCAACCCAGGTGTCCGCTTGGGTTGCAACAGGCGTGGCCAAACGAAAACTTCCCTTGGCCATTCGTAGCACATCCGGATTTCAGGTCTCTGGGCCCTTTGGCCGCCAGCGAAGTGCATCGGGGCACCTGGTACCTGGATCCCAGCACGGGCAGCGTCTCGGCACTTTGGGCAGCAGCGACTCTTGAGAGCGGAGGGGAACTGCCGTCTGGCCATGGGGTATAACCTATGGCTCCCAAAATGGGGTGGATGAACATCCAGTTGCCACCTATTTTGATGTTCACCAGGGGTACCTTTGGTTTTGACCCATGCACAGCCATTTGCCGTCATTCATTTCCACGTATGGCCTCTCAATTGAGGTGCGGTGAGCATTCCGGCCAGCATGTTGGCGCCGACCATCGCGCTGCAGGCGAGAAAATGTCACGTTAACTGAGCAGCCAGTATGGTGAGTGAGGCGTCCCGAACACTGGCAGTGGCAGAGGAGCTGTTCCTGAACTACCGGCTGTCCCCGACTAAGTTGCCCAACTGTTTTTTTTGCCATCTTTGAGGATGGCATGGGGGGTTGGTAGTGCAACCAAAAGGATACCCACCTTGTCGGCTGATTTGTTTGTAGCCCCTTTGAGCCCTTCGAGGCGGCCTCCGCACCCAACATGGTACAGCCCCGTGAGAAGTTGACGCCGGAGCAAATCGCAGCGGCCGGGCAGCGACGCCGCGACCGCGCGTTGGGCGCGGCTGCACCTGGGGCAAGGAGATGGACGCCGAGCGCGGCGCAAAAGCGCAGCGACTTGATGGAGGCAAATGCCCCACGGGCTGCAAGCTCCGGTCCCAGCGCCGCAGAAGCTCGAAGACGGCGAAAGGATGGAAAATGCGCAGTAGAGCTATCGAGCTCATAAACAGCGGCAAGAGGGCATACTATTTTGCCCCAAGTACACGCACCTCCACATCCCAATCAATATGCTTGCTGCCCAACAAGTCGTTGCACCGCAGGACCAGCTTGCGCTGGCCGCGTCATTTGCTGAACAACAGCAGGCCAGGACATGGGAGTGGGGCGTTCCCTTGCTTGGCATGACGACGAGTTCTGGTGGGCTCCCTTCGGGTTCAAAGTTTGCTTTTTTCCCTCTAAAGCAACCGATCGGCATCGAGAAGTTGGACAGGCGATGTCGCGGAAGTTGACGGAGCTGGAGGGCCAGGTGCAAAGCGCCCGGCTGCCTCAGGATGTCGCAGCTTCTTGGGAGCGTAGGGGGACCAGGGTTGGGAAAACCAGTTTTGGGGGGTTCCCTTAAAGGAAGAGCCGTAGGATGGATGGTTTTTCTGGGAGTCATTCCATTTCCCAGGGCCCCTGCTGAGAACCAGCAAGCTTTTCAGCCTTCCACTTTGCTTTTGTGAGTAACGTCGAGTAACCACTGGCTATGTATGGTCCTGGTCCATGGTTTCTTGGAGCTGAGGCTCGGACCGTGTTCGCAGCAGTTTGCAAGTCGCGTGTTGTCCTTGCATGCGGCCCATGTTGCTGCTTCAAGGAGCTGTGACAATTGCTTCCTATTCCCACCTTTGGTTTGAACAGTTTGGGAGCAACCATCTAAAATATGAAGGCGAGATGCTGAACCGGGACACATTCCTTGAGCAAGCCTTGACATCCAACAGCAGACAGGGGGACTGGATCGCTCGCTTTTTTGGAGGGAGAAACGGTCCGTATTGGCCATCTGTAGGGCGTCCGACAGGATGACAAGCAGCCTGCTACCGCGCACACTAGATACTAGTGGCAGTTGGGGGTGCTATGCTGGCTTTGCCATGTTTGTGAATTGGCATGGTTGACGTGTTTGCAGCAACGACGTTGTTTGTGCTTCTGGGGGGAGTAATTCGGTGCCTCATGTTGCTTCCCAATGCCGTGGTATCAGTGTGTCTTTTTTGAGGATACCTGATTTGTTTGCGGTTTTGAAGGGAAACCAAAGGGACTTTTTTGAGGATACAATGTTTGTTTGCGGTTTTGAAGGGAAACCAAAAGGACAATCGCCATTTTGCGGGCTTTCCGTGAGTGTGTTTCGTTTCGAGCGTGCCGAGTCAGTTGGTGCATCCTGACTCCAAGCTAAACATGCCAGGCAGTCGTAGTTGGGCGACTTTTTGCCGCATCCTTGGGGCCCCCAAACAAAGACTTTTTGCCGGCCATGTGGGCCTTTCCAACTGTCAGACTGTCCAGGCCAGCAGCGCTTTGCTCCAGAAAGCCGACCGCAGCGAGATTGAGGACCGAAACTGGCTCCAGCTTTGCCGGAAGGTCCATGCTTTGCTCCAGCTTTGGACCTCCCAAAAGCCGCAGCTTCAAGTGACCCCGCCAGAAAACTGCCAACTTTTGGAGGGGAAGCCCCAGTGACTTCTGTTGGAGGCGAGAGTGAGCATGGGAAACACCATCAACACTTATGGTACGACCCCATGTGATCCTGGGGCATTGGCTCTCGTTGCGCCTTGGTGGTTCTCTGCCTTTTGTGAGGCTCAGCTTTTTGTCCAACTGAGAGCTGGCGGTTACTTGAGCCAATGAACTGGCGACCTGGAGATACATGAAGCCTCCATGAGAAAGCCTTAGAGAAATCACAGAGCTAGGCAACCGTAGGGTCCTCACGGCGTTTGTTCTCCTCACTGTTGGAAAGCACTCGGCTCCTTTGACTAAGTGCCCTTCGGCCAGACAGGCTATGGTAAAAGCACCTGGTCACCACAGATCACTGGTAGCCCGGTAGCGTCATTTCAATGTCTTTACGCATGATGAAGGCATGACTTCAAGAACGAAGGCAATCCTGACCATCCCAAAGAGATCCCAAAGTGTTGATTGGTGTCGGCAGAAAAAGAGAGAGAGAGACAGAGAGAGAGAGAGAGAGACAGCGAGAGAGAAAAACAATAAATAGTGTTGCAGAGCGCGAGAGAGAGAGAGAGAGAGAGAAACAAAAAATGTGTTGGCGCCCAAGTCGCACTCGCCCAGCTCGCGTTGCACAATCGGCCAATGCAGGAGCTGCTCTCAGCCGCCGCGGAAGCTGCGGCGGAAGGGATTTCCGGGCTGGGCGGCCCAGCGGACCCGGCGGATGAATCGGTTGGCACGAGCAAAGCAGTGGCCTTGCTACAGGTGGGTCTCATTTGCTCTCCACTTGGGCCCTTCCAGCTGTGGGTACCTGAAGGCCAAGACAATCTGAAGACACAGCCACCTGGGTGAGGCACTTGCTGCGGTATGTTCTTTGATCGCGGGCAGGGTGATACTTATTGCGAAGGGGTGTTTGAGAACCCATGTGAGCTTTTGAAGCTGGCGGTTGGACCAACTTGCATGGGGGCCGACCCAAGACAACAGCCAACAGGAACTCCCGTATCATGAAATGGTTGATTTTGAACCGTCAAGAGGGTGGAACAATTTATCCTTGTAGCTCTGGTGCTTGGGCACCAGGGTGGTTTCCCTTTGGTTCCGGCATCCCCCACCAGCCAGCTCCAGTACTCCCTGTTCTTCCCAGCGCAATTGGAAACGTAAGGACATGCATTTGCATGAGCCATTTCAGGAAATGTGTCGGAATTGGTGTGGAGAAGTATCCCACATCCAGCAAACAACTATGTCGCAGTTCCTTGCTGACCGGCCTCACCCTAAGATTCAAGAGAAGACCAAAACTTAGGTCGCACCCTTGGCGAAACCCCTGAATTTTGCGGAATACTTCTGAGGTCCATTCAGGATACATCCTTGCCTGGCGCAGGCAGGGCTGTCGCCAGCTTGCCCAATTTGGCACTCTTGTTGGCGTTTGGCATTGCCTTCATCAACGGCACATTGCTTAGGTGTTCGTCGCCGACGCAACCTCGCTTTCAAAAGGTCGATTGATTCCTTGGCTCCCAGCCATCCGATTCCTTCGCCTTTCAGCCTTTTCAGTGTTTAGTGGCGTAGTTTCCATTTGACCCACTATTTGTTTTTAAGCTTTTTAGTGTTTGGTGGTCGTTTCCATTTAGCCCACGAAAAGTGAGTCACTTTGAAAACGGGCCCAGAAATCCGTCGCTCGGAGAGCTGAAAGCTCTCGCCAGGACTGGAGGGAGCCAGGGGCCCCCAGGCTGTCGATTGCGCGTGGCGAGGGAACCAACTTCAACCAGGACAACACCCGATGTTCGCCAACTGCATCAAATCAATTCAAATCACCTATTTACTTGATAAACATTGACAGCACGAGCGGTACAGGACAGGAACCGAGATAGAGAGAGCAAACGCTAGACAACGAACAGCAAAAACAAAGATTTCGGCATGAACAAGATGTGTCTGGCGTTCAGAATTGGACATATATATATATATATATTTTCCCTCTCTCTCTCTCTCCTCTTCTTCTTAGCTGCTTGAGGCACCCTTGCCTTCTGCCCAGCACTCGGAGGCTCGGCAGACTCCAGTGCCAGGTTTGACGGTATCGGACTGCCTTCCCTGGCCGCCGAACATGAAACTACTTGGCAGAAATGGCTGTGGGTCAAAACCAATGGCATCCCATTTTGGGGTAGGTGAATTCAGCACCCATTTTAGGCTGAGCCTATTTTAGTGGGGGATTGAATCGGATGTTCACCGGACATACAATTTGGATTTTGGATTTTGAACAGCCCATGGCCATATGCCTGCGCTGCATGGGAGTGATCATTGCAACCGGTTCAGTCAGGTCGGGCCCCCGGCCAAGTTGGAGTGCTCTGACACGGCGATCCCAGAGCTTGACCAGAACCAGGGCTGGGGTGCCGAGTGCGATCTTGCTCACACCTCAGGCTTTCTTTGCTCTCAGTGGCACTCTGCTTCTACCAGTTCCTTGTGCTTTGGGTATCAAACTCACGCATGTCATTGCAATACCGGCTTAATGATTGGCATCTCAACTGTGCAACCCACTCAAGTGCTGCAGCTTGTGCTTCCTGCGCTATGCTTGCGCTCTCTTTCCCAGCATTGCCTCACTTCACATGTTCTTTGTCGTGTTCTCCCAGTCGCGCCTACAAGTGGTAGGCCTGCATCCGGACCGTGTGATGGAGAGATGCCTGCAATTCATGCCCTGCACTTTCTCTGTTTGTCCGTTCCAGGGAGTGTCCTCGAATGTGGCCAGCGCAAGACGAGGTGTTATTGTTTTTTGGAGTGGTGGTCACAGGGAGGTAAAGTCTTCAGGCAAACTCAAGGGACTCCTGACCAGTGGCTGTCCTCTGGCGTTGCGGGCGGCAGCCCCCCACAAAGATCGAATGATTCAAATAGGGCAAAACATCGAAAAAGATAGCGCTCCAGAACAGTTGTGGAAAGGACTCGTTTTTGCTCATGCAGCTCGTCGTTTGCACGAACCCTAGATGGAACACACAAGCTGCAAGCCCAGGTGGGCTGAGCCTCTACGATGCACCCGCGCAGAGCGAAAGGGTGATGGCAGGGGCCCAGATATTGTCGCCGTTGTGGGCTTCTGTTGGAAGGGGAAACCAAAAGGACATCCTTCATGTTGGGGGGTGGAATCCAATGCATTTACTGCACGGACAACTGCTTGCCGCCAGCTTCCCTAAGATGCAGGGTTGTGGAATCAAGGGGTTTATTCCCACTTCTGTGATAAACATCAAGCCTGATTCTGCCTGTCAGCTTTCCTCAGCTTCCGTGTGTGTAGGACAGGTCATTTCGGTTCTTCGCTACTGCTTCTTGAATGCCAATCGTCGGTTCGGCTGATTTGCCCTGGCCTTTTGAAAGCCGGATTGTTTTTTGCCGGCTAGGCATGGCAAGCGCCTATCGTTTCACGGGAGCCTTTCAAGTTCGCAGGGTTCAACACCGTTTCAGTGCCTTTCGCCAGCAAGAAACTCGGTTTACATTGCAGCCCCTTGGCTTCCCTTTTGCGGGCGGCACTCTTTGAGGCGCAAAGCACGCCCTCAGAAGGCCAGCGATGGATTTGGGTTTTTGTTGGCTTGGCGAAGTTGGCAAAGGGACGGCCCGTGTGTTTGAGTCAGAAGCATCGTAGGGCTCAGTCGTCCAAAGCGAAGCGACCCTTTGACCTTTTGGTTTTCTCCATGTTGGTCCAGATTGACTAAAGGTCCCAACAGGTAAACCTTTTGTTTCCAGGTCCTTTGGGCAACTGAGGCAGGGCTCGTCTTTGTTTGTTCTTTTCCTTCTGGGATGGCTAAAATGCTCGACTAAGTTTCCTTTTGGGATGTCATAGAGCGATCCCTGCGCCACCTAAACCCCAAGTGGACCGCCAAAGCCCAGCGTCAGAAGCTGTTGAGTTCGTGCGAAGGAGTGTGAGTTTCATACGCAGGGCATGTCTTTTCCTTTCGGATGCTATCATCTGTTGCTTGAGCAGAAAGGGCTTCTCATATCAGATGGCCAGTCACGAGCCAAGCCGGTCGCAGTCGGCACCACTCTGCTGAAGCATGGGTTTGTGAGACCAGGGTTCCACTTTTTGACTTCAGGCTTAAACCGTGGTTGATTCCCCCCAAAAGGCGAACCCCTTGGTTTAAGTCTACCTTGGGGTAGTCAAAAAGTGGAACCCTATGTGAGACAAGTGCCATCGAGCCCTTAGAGCAGCAACCATGCGCACGCTAAGAGCCAACATGAATGGTCAAGCAAGCGGTCGGAAGGGGCCACAATTTGCATTCGCATGTGGGCACATCCACAAAGGCTTCTTGTTTTGCTTGATATGGGAGTGTCTTTGAGGGACTTTTTTGAAGCGCAACCAAAGGCACAACTCCCATTTTGGGGTCCCCTATTTGAATGCACGCCCATGGGCTGCTAATGATGGCAACTATTGCCTTCACAAGTTGGGCACCAACATAGACCTCGCTATCACGTTGCAGATCTCTGCAGGCAGCCTGACCACGCCGCGCATGAAGGGCTCAGTTGAAGCCCCAGACAGCACGGGTTTGCACGCATCCATTCTGGGAACGGCCCGCTCATACCTTGGGTAAATAGGGCTATCCAGTGAAACCTTGGCCTCAAAGGGTGTGGCTTTTCTTCTCTCGCTCCCACCGGCAAATAGAGCTATCCAGTGAAACCTTGGGACTAAAATCATGGGTGCTGGGGGGGAGGGAGGGGAGAGGGAGCCCAAATAAGCTTTAAATAAGGCCTAATCAGGGCTGAATAAGGGCTTATTTGGGCTCCCCCTCCCCTCCCTGCCCAGCCCCCATGATAAAAGGGTGGCTCCTCTTCTCCTCTTGGCTTCTGGGTCGATCCCGCGCCCCCTCCGGGTGGGTCTCTGGGGCCAATGCATGGGCCCCGCTTTTCGGCTCGTCGAGGCCTCCGCACCCTCCTCGCAGCTCACCTCCAGCATCGCCAGCTCCCTGAACCGGGCGCGCTCGGGCAACCTGGGACGAGGAGAGCGCCCGCGAGCGCGCCGTGCCTTGAGCCTTGAGCTTTGGACCATGGGCTCGCCTTTGGCAAGTCAAGTGGACTTTTGGCTTCTTCCTTGGGTGGCTGGGTGGGTAGACCCTGTTTGTGTGCTTGTACACAAGTGTTTGTGTGATTCTTGGTTGATAGACCAGTCAGTTCTCGATGGTGATTGCGTTTTTGTTTCTCACTCCCCAGGATACCAGTCTGCGACTTTGACAGGCTCGGCTTGCTGGAGCTTGGAGGACTTCGGATCGTTGCGTCCAGGTTTGGACTGTGGTTGCCCTTGGTGCGAGAGATGCAGGGAATGAGAAATGGAATGGCCGCTATAAGCAATGCGCTATGGCTTCCTTTCAGGGAATCCCCGAAACCGGTTCCCAACACCCAGACTCGCTCATTCCCTACTTATCGCACATATCGCACATATCGCAAGTGCTTCAGCGAGCGAGGGGGCCATGGGGTTCCTTTCGCCATGCCAGGCTTGCCACCTTATCCCGCCAAAGGCCCTCGGGTGTCAAAGCCCAGAACCCAGAGGGATGGAAATGGATGGGGCGTCAAAGCGAACGACCTTTTGACCTTTGGGTTTCCCTTTTTGGCAACCCTTTTTTGCAAGGTCCCACAAGGTTAAGCTCGTTGTTGTTGTTTTTTTGTTCCAGGCCCTTGGGCAAGTGAGGATATAGATGCTTGTTTTAGCACGACGGTTGCAAGGGGCTGGTGACAATACCGTTGGCTGAGATATGGGTGGCGTAAAAGATGGCCCAGCTGGGGCTTGATCAGGACGAACATCTGGGGTTCGAAACGGGATGTCAAAACCCGCAGATTGGCCAGGCACGGTCAGTTGGCAGACTCAGCGTGGCATTTTCCGCTGCCACATCCCCTAAACATGTGAACATTGTGAACAGCGATTGCCGTAGGATTTCTGGTCCACTGCAAGGAGAGAATCAACACCCGCAGACTCCATACATACCAACATTTGACCCAGTTGGAGGGTAAATGTGGGTGTGATTAGCCATGCATTTCAGGTGACTACCGGCATGTTGCGATAGCAACTATCCGGTGCCACTTTGGCTCAAGTTTTGGGTTCCGTCGCGCCTCGAATGGGCGTCGCCGAACCCCTGCGTCGACCGACGGCATCTCGGGGGAGAAAGAGACCTCGGGCCGCCGCCAGGTTGGTAGGGACCAGTCGTGCGGCCTGTTGTCGACCAAGGTTGCGGGTTAACCCTTTTCTTGTTTGGTTTGTTTTCCTTTGGTTGTTGTTCTCTGGTGTGTGGGAAACCCTGATCTTTGGGACCGGGGATTGGTTTGCTTTTGGGGAACCTTTCTTTTGTGGCTTGTTTACCCCAACTTACCCATTGCCTGGGCACAGGCTCGTGCCCGAATCACAGGTTATCAGCCGTATGATCGGGAACGCCCACCATGGGAACCACCATGCCCGCACCGCCACTGACCCAGCGCAGTCCGCCAGTTGCCGATTCCCCCCGTGCTAGGCGTCCCCGGCGGGAATTGAACCACAGACCCGGCGCCACAAAGATGGTCAAGGACAACACCTCTCCCATTACCACAGGTTATCAGCCGTAGGACTTTCCTACGCGCTTGAGACCATCAACTACAAGCTCTATGTCGACCCCACGATCTCGAAGGAGTGTCGTGGATGAGGAGGCCATCCTAGGGGGCCTCCGCTCAGGTGAGGACCTGCCGGACTATGACTACGAGGATTTCGAAGCAGGTTCGACAGGTCAGGATCGCAGGGGTGAAGATCCCGGTAGGGACACACCCAGGAGCCGTGGCAGGTACACCGACGATGGAGACGACCGCATTTTCCGTCAGGCCACCGATGATGAGCAGACACGGAGGGTTCGCTCCGATAGGAGCGGCTCTGAATCAGGTCACAGGCGCGGACAGTTCGACTTCATCAGCATGGCGATGAACATGGCCCGCCCTCATTCGGACGACCCGGAGGCTATGCCGACCCGACCCCCGAGATCTCTTGTTCCAGGTGAATCGCAGGTCTCGGATGAGTTTGAGGGCAGGCCGCAAGGACCAGGGGCTATGGTTTTGGCTCCGAGAGATATCTCGGGTCGATCCACTGGTTCTCAAAATCCAGGTCAGTTTGATGAGTACGAGGAGCGGAAATTCACAGACTTCGGATACGATGCTCTGTTGAGATCAGCCGCAGGTTGGGGCAGTAGCTCAAAGCAGGGATCTGATGCCGGTAGGCCCAACCCTAATACTGCCAAGTCTGAGCCTTATGATGGCGAAGATTATAATTTTGCGGATGAGGAGGAGGACCAATCACGCCGAAATGCTAGGATCCGTGATGCTGCGAGGCCCAGGAGCCTCTCTCGTGGAGCCGCCAGGGACCTTCGTGTTGACAGGGACGCCCGAAGCGAGAGAGAGAGAGCCAGGGATAGTCGGGAAGTTCTTCGGGGATTGGAGGCCATCCATGACCGGGAGGGGCCGATAGGTCCCCCGGCGATTGGTGATACCCCGAATGTTCCCCCTTTTCCCAACATTACCTTTGGAGGTCCGTTGAATCAGAGAGACGTGAACTCGAACCGGGTTACTGGTTCGCCGAGGATCACTGAGCGGGCTGCCGATATCGTTAGGACAGGTGCCAGAGATGGTCGGCTCGCCGATGCACTCGGGATCGAAGATCGTCCGTCGATCGCTAGCCCGTTAGGGCGAGATACCAGTGACCTTGAAACGCTGAGGTCTAGCAACGAGTTCACACCTCAATGGGGCTCGACCGCCAGGGAACGTAGTGTTTCTGCGAAGAGGCCGTCGCCCCTCGCCATTGAGACCGATAGGTCAAAGGCGAGGAGGGCTAGCCCCTCACCAATTGGCTCAACTCCGCAGGATGAGGAGATGCCCGATCCTGCTGATGTTCACATTCACTCTACCCCCGAGTCTCGTGCATCCAACATTGATCCCCGATCTGGCGATAGCCGGAGAAGGGGATCTACCCCGAGTAGGCCACCCAGGATTGATGATTGTCCTGTAGGCGACCCCAGAAGGCATGCTGGGGCTAGTGGGGCTCCTGAGAGGATCAAGATATCGACTCCTCCTGCCCTCAGATCCCAGTCTTCCGGCGAATCAGGTGACGCCAGGGCAAAGGAGGTGTTCGATTTGCACATCCAGGAGATGCTCGAGAGGGGCGAGGTTTCTGGCTCAGTCGCGAAGGCGTTCCATATTTTTGCTGACCAAATCAGGTTACTGAACGGTCAGGTGAGTTCCATGCGAAGGGAATGGGGCGACGAGAATCGACAGACGAAGGACAAGGTCGATCGCCTGACAGCTGAGATTGCGACTCAATCTGATGCCGGTAGGATGCGAATGATAGTTCAACGGTTTGCTAGGGAAGTTATTCCTGACAGCAAAGCCATTGTGAGGCAAGCCATCGATGAACAGGCTGAAGTTGTGGAACAGAGGATCAATCTGCTTTCTCATGAGGTTCATGAATCTGTTAAGGACAATGAGACCGCGACAGATCGGCTTCGCCAGATGATTCAAGAGAATCGTGAGGCCGTCCACAGGAGCCATGCTGCTTCCGAGGATGAGATCCTTAAGGACTTGGACAAGCTCGAGGGACGGATGTTCTCGGTAGAGAAAACCGTCGGGATGCGGACGCCAGCAGGTGAATGGGATTTGAATCCTGTCGCGCAACCGTCCGATAGGGCTAGCAGCAGCGGGGTGAACGCGAATTTCAGGGAGTTAAACCTGAAGCTCGAGAAGGCTCTCCTTCAACATGAGAAGTTTGCTAAGTGGGCCTCCGAATCCATTGGTGGCATTAATGAAGAGCAAACCCTTCTTGCTAATCGGATGTCGAGGCTGCAAAGTGGAAGGGGGTCACAGGCGATCGATAGATCATCAGGGCCTGTATCCCCGCAGGACTGGCATGAAGCAATTGATCAATCGAAAGGTCCAGGATCTATCTCGCGGAGTTCAACGCCACCATGGGGATCATGACGATGTCCTTGCGAGGTTCGAAACCTTGAAGTCCCGTGTTGAGCAGTACGAAGCGAGTTCGGGGATTCTGAATCAAGTTCTTGATGACATCAGAAGGCAGATTCGCAATCTCCCTGCGAATAGTGATCAAGCACGGTCCGCCGTTAGGCGTGAAATCGACTCATTCCGGAGTACGCTTGAAGGCGCTATGCGGAGAATCAGCACTGTCGAGAGTAACGTGCGTACTCTTAATGGAATGAACAACAGAATCATGGCTCAGCTCTATGAAATCGAAGGTCATGTCGATGAGGCTGCTGGCATTATTCAGGGTGTCCAGGATAATCAGGTAAACCCTCCACAGCCCAGAGAGAGACGGAACGTTGGATACGACGCTTTCGCGGGGCAGGGACACAGAATCAGGTCTCCGACGCCCACTCCCGGAGAAGGCAACGGTCGGGGTACTGGCCTTCCGGTGAGACCGGGCGGAGGTGTTGATTTGGTTGATCACGCTTTGCCAGATGTGCCCGGTAGGGTCGATCCTTCCCAAGCAGGCAGGCATCCCATCAATCCCGATAGGGAGAGGGCTGACAGCAGAAGCAGGAGGGCGCGGGGACTGCCTGACAGGTCGCATTCACCGCCAGGGCGTGCGAGGGATGGCCCCCGCGCGCGCGCAAGGGGGGACATTTCTGTTTCTCCCAACAGGGATGTGGGTAGGAATAGGAGCCCGAGGCCTGCTGCCGTCCCCGATAGGGGATCTGAGGTCCGGAGTCGGCAATCGAGGGGGGGGAGGCCGATCCGCGATAGCGGGAGCATCTCTCCGAACCTGGATAGGCCGATCCGCGATAGCGGGAACGTCTCTCCGAACCCAGACCGTCATCCAGGAGGTGGTAGGGATAATAGGGCCCATGCCGACATCCAGAGTCCCGGCGATAACTGGAGGACTCCTGGGAGTAGAGCTAGTGCCGATATCCAGAGTCCCGGCGATAGCTGGAGGACTCCTGGAGCTCCATCTGATCGTGGACAGGCCTCGGCACCGGCCGCAAGAGGAGCTTCCGGTACCGGTGGGTCAGGTGCGCCAAAGATTTGTGCCCTCGATAATCCCAACGACCGTAGGCACCCGGACGCTGAATTCTCGTGTGTTACGTGCAATCGTGAGTTTTGCAGGCTTTGCCGGGGTGACGACGGGGACTGTTGCAATTGTCAGTTCTTGAAAATGAAGTGTTGGGCATGTCGCAAGAATGCCCAGGAGGTCTCAATGTATTTCTGCACGGATTGTGGGAACCACGTTTGTGAGGATCACAGTCATTTTGGCAGTGATGGCCTCGAGCGATGTGCGCGCTGCAATATTCGGCATGAACGTGCTAACGCTGGACCGCCTCCTCCTCCCCCTCCTGGGGGAGGAGGTGGGCAAGGCGGACCACCCGGTCAAGGTGGGAGCGGAGGCGGTGGTCACGGACATGCTCCATTTCCACCACCAGGTCCTGGACATCCTGGCGGAGGCCAAGGTCCCGCTGGACCTCCTGGAGGCCCAAGTGGTGAAGCCTTGAGGGGAGATGATGGACGGGACAGGTGCA